GTCCAAAATATATAAAGACTCAAGAAATTAGACATCAAAAATTTAAATGACCCAATTGAAAATGGCGTACAGAACTAAACAGAGAATTCTCAAAGGAAGAACCTAAAGTGGCTGAAAGACACTTTAAAAAATGTTCAGCATCCTTAGACATCAGGGAAATGTGAATCCAAACAACTTTGAGATATCATCTTACACCTGTCAGAATGGCTAAGATCAATAGCACCAGTGGTAGCTTATAGGATGTAGGGAAAGGGGAATGCTCATTCTTCTCTGATGAGAATGCAAATTTGTATAACCACTTTGGAAATCAGTATGGCAGTTTCTCAGAAAATTGAGAATCAACCTATTTCAACATCCAAAAATACCACTCTTTGGCATATACCCAAAAGCTGCTCAATCATGCTACAAAGACAATTGTTCAACTATGTTCATAGCAGCATTATTTGTAATAGCCAGAACCTGGAAACAACCTAGATGCTCCTCAACTGAAGAATGGATAAAGAAAATGTGGCACATTTACACATTAGAGTACTACTCAGCAGTAAAAAAAAATGATATTTTGAAAATTGCATGCAAATGGATGGAACTAGAAAACATCATCCTGAGTAAGGTAAACCAAATCCCAAAAGATGAATATGGTATGTGCTCACTCATAAGTGGATACTAACTATAAACAAAAGATACTGAGTCTATAGTTTATGATCTTAGAAAAGCTAAGTAACAAGGTGAACCCTAAGAAAAACTTATACAGATCCACCTGGAAAGTCAAAATAGACAAAACTGCTGACTACATTGGGAGCATGGGGGTGGGGAGAAAAGGAAGATGGAAGGGGAAGAGGAGAGGAGAAGGGGAGGGGAGAGAACTTGTGGGAATGGAATGTCAAGATGGAGGAAGGACAGAGATGAGAGCAATGAAAGAAATATCTTGATTGAGGGAACCATTATGGGGTTAGCAAGAGACCTGGCTCTAGAGAAATTACCATGAATCCACAAGGATGACTCCAGCAAAGACCATAAGCAATAGCGGAGAGGGTACCTGAACTGGCCTTGCCCTTTAGTCAGACTTACGAATTTCTTAAATATCACTATAGAACCTTAATTTAGCAACTGATGGAAATAGAGGTAGAGACCTGCATTGGAGCACTGAACTGAGCTCCCAAAGTCCAGCTGAAGAGTGGGAAAAGTGAGAATAAGAACAAAGGTCAAGACAGTGGCCGGTTCACCAACTGAAACAGTCTACCTGAGCTAATGGGAGCTCACCAACTCCAGCCATACAGGGAAGGAACAAGCATAGGTCCAAACTAGTCCCTCTGAATGTGATTGACAGTTGCATGGCTGGGGCAGACTGAGAAGCCATTGGTAGTGGCACCAGGATATATCCCTACTGCATGTACTGGATTTTTTTTTGAACCTATTCTCAGCTTTTGAATATAGTCGGAAGGGTCTTGAGCCTTCCCTAATGCAATGTGCCTTAACCTCTCTGTGGAGTGAATAGGTTGTGGGGTAGTGGGGTAAGCAGAGGGAATGGGAGGAAAGGAGGGAGTAGGAGCTTGGATTGGTATGTATAATGAAAGAAGATAGTTTGTTTTCTTTCTTTGAAAAAATAAAAATAAGATATAAAAATAAGAAAGGAGGTGGGGGAGGAAACTGGAGGAAAGAAGGGTGAGGGAACTGTAATTTGTATGTAAAATAAATGAAAAATGGTAATGGAGAAAAAACAAAAAAATATGGAAATATAGAGGGTAAGAAAATTTGGAACATGTGAACCACAGGAAGCTTGCAGATGTGAGAAGATATTTCTATTGTTCTAAATGACAAAATTATGTGTTAATTGTTTCGTAATCCATGGTGAGCTAATATGAACAGATACTAGAAAGAAAATCTTTTCCTTTGAAATATAGCACACAAAAGCAAGGGTACTCACAAAATGTCTTGGATCTGACCGTGGTGAGTAATTAATTTTGTATTTACACATATTGGTTCAGAACACTTCTAATTTTTCTGTTTAGTTGACTGCTGTGGGATAATGCTCTTGTACCCTGTAAAAATTTGTCACTTGTATTATTTAATAAAATGCTGATTAGCCAGTAGCCAGGCAGGAAGTATAGGAGGTGGGACAAGAGTAGGAGAATTCTGGGAAGAGAAAAGGCTCAGTCTGCAGTCATCATCCAGACACAGGGGAAGTAAGATGAGGATCCCAGAAAAATCTCCCATAGGAGCAGAAGGCCAAGATAATCCAACATTTCAGAGCACCTCTGTTGCAGTTACCTCTGAGTTCTAAGACCAGAACAGTCTCAAGACTGTTGGGTGAGATCATCCAGCCTCATAGAATACTCCAGTCAGGACCTGTTCATAGTCTTAAATTTTCTTTAAAAAATTTAATAAGATTATCAGTACCCCCAAACAGCAGGAAGTAATCCAGAAAACCACCCACATTCCCCAAAAAAATGGATTATGAATGTCTGTCTTTGTTTAGTGTATTGATTACAAGTTGTTATGGATAATGGTTAGGAAAAGAAGCTAAACAAAGATTAGATTCAGAGTTCTTTTTTTTTTTTTTTGAAAAGATAAAAACGTGAGTGTTGTGGGATAATGGTCTTGTATCCTATAAAGATTTGTCACTTGCATTGGTTTAATAAAACATGGATTGGCCAGCAGCCAGGCAGGAAGTATAAGTGGGGCGACCAGACTAGGAGAATTCTGGGAAGAAGAAAGCCTCAGTCTTCAGCCACCAGACAGACACAGAGAAAGCAAGTTGAGAATGCCTCACTGAGTAAGGTACCAAGTCACATGGCTAAATATAGATAAGAATTATGAGTTATTTTAAGTTGTAAGAGCTAGTTAATAAGAAGCCTGAGCTAATAAGCAAACCAGTTTATAATTAGTATAAACCTGTGTGTGTGTGTGTGTGTTGGTATTGAATGACTGTGGGACCGTGCAGTACAGAAACTTCCGTCTACAGTAGACTAGTTGGTGTATAGACTGAATATCAGATAGAGTTAAAAGTGGGTTCTTTTAAACATTTTACCATTTATAGCAAGACAGAAAAAACATTTGATTTTATGTCTTTTAAAATTTATGTATACATAATGGATGAGACAGTGAACATATTGTTGGTAATGTCTTATCTGTCTTAGAACTTGAATGATGATTTATAAATTGCTGAGAATTTCCAATTGCTTTGGTTAAAGTGGAAACAACTTTCACAAACAATTTGCTTGTCTGAAATATTGAAATGACACAATGTTATAAATTGTGATAGTCTACAACACACTATAGCCCAGTGTATTTTCTTTATAAGTAAAATCTGTAATTTGGCTATGGTTGAACACTGTTCAGAAGTTGGTAAATATAGTCTGTCTTAAATCTTGTTTTTGCCATCATATTTACTTTGACAGGTAAAGATGAAAGGGTGTTGGATAATGTTTGCTGCTAACAAGAGCATAAATTAATTTTAGAGCACACATGGCACTCAATAATTATAATCCATTTATGAACATTGTTCACTAGAGGTTTTAATCACTGTAATAGATAGGCACATCAGTCTTTACTGATAGAATGTTTGTCTCTTGAACAAGTGATACATGCTGGGGTGGATGGAATAGAGAATCTCTTCTATAGTCTGCAAAGCTACGCTGGCCTGCAGAGGTTTCACATGACTTCCATTTGTCCTTAAAACCCCTTTAAAAACAAAATGACACTCTGACTAGGGATGCAGAACCAAAATTCAGCAAGCATTCCCTGTGAACCAGAAGGCCACTCCTTCGAGAGAAGGAGGTAGGCTAACTGCAGGTCTTCAGTCTCTCTCTTCTTCTCCAGAAGCAATGCCTGAGTCTCATCCTCAGTGCTGCAGCAGACCATCTGCTACAGGCCCCCTTTCTATCCTGAACCTATCTCCAGTGGACGAAACAGATCTTCCCTCCTATTCTACCTCCCTCAACATAGTGCTTTACCAAAGCCCCCCTTTCTTTCAACTCTAGCAGGCACTCTCTGCAAATCCACAGGTCACTCAAGCCAGAGAAACAGCTAGGCTAACTACAGATTTTCACCACTCCCTTACTCCTCCAAATCTAGTTCTCCAGTCTCATCCCCAGCACCACAGTAGAACACTTGCTCTGACCTCTCCTCACTCTCTGATCTCATTCCCACGGCACTACGCAGATACTGGTAGACCACCCTGCTTTCCTCCCTCCTATGGACCCCATCAGTTCCCACAAGCTTATCCCTATTCCTAAGTATTTATTTCCAACACTCACTACTGGGAGCCAGGCTCCAGATGGGTTTGATTACCTGGGATGGATATGTGAATTTGGAGCCCTGAAGAAACTGTGAACACCTGTTGTTCAAACAACTGGCCCTGGATAGCTTGGACTGTTTTTATTTATACAGTTTCAATGGTTTGCATGAACAATTTAACAATCAATATTACTTCCTAAGTTTCCAAAAAATGATTATGTTTGTTCCTTGCTTCTTTCTCCTTCTGTCCCCCAGGTTTCCTACCAGTAACCATTACCTATTTGATATATATATCCCTCCTGTTAGAAGCACAGGTAGTCTTGCAATGTACTAAAAGTAGAACAGTGCCCAGTTTACAGCATATGCAGTTACAGCATCATGCAATGTGAGAGACAGATTTGTCTCTAGTAATTAATATTTACATCTAGTAGGGTCTGAGTTTTCACAATCAACTCACCAGTCAAAGCTGTTCAATATATTTTACATTCTGCACTACTCTATCTCCTCTGGGGATATACTAAGTTTTTCCATTTATACTATAGGAAACATAACATGGAAACTTACCTTTAATAGTTGGCACTGATTATCCCTTGTTCTCATGTCCTTCTCTCTTAACTTCTAAGGATATTGGCACAGTTATTAGAAAGGAGGGAACTGTGGGTTTTTACAATTCTGCTTCATTCCCTGTTCCTAGAGTGTGCCCATTAATTCTTGGTACCATCTATTTAATAACATTTCTTTTTTTTTTTAAATCTCCTTACCCTTTGGCTTTTATTCATAAGATAATCTACAGTTCTTAAAATTTCCTCTCATATGATTCTGACACTCAAGGAAAATCTCAATCTTCCTTATCAACCTCCCACCCCTTGGTGAATTAATGATACAAAGCATTAATACAACATCTTGCTGAATCTCTTTGGAATGGATCTTTTTTCCGTTATAAAACCCCGTGTCTTCATAAGTCTGGCATGTAAGATCTTAATTGCTCTGTCACAGCTTTCTCCTCTTCAGTCAGAAGAGTCAGCTCCAGGTCTGTTTGCTTTTGTAGTTCTTGTACCATGGTCATTGTCTTGCTCAGAATAGCACAAATGCGGCTCTTGTTCTCTTTTTGCTCAACAGAAAGTGGCTTAAAACGTGCACACAAAGCTTGATATCGAGACTTTATTGCTGATAATTCCTTTAAAATTTCACCAGGATTTTTCTCTCCTGCTGAATCTGGGTGATTAGTCTTGATTTCATACTCCAGCCTATATTGAATGTAATCCAAATCAGAATCAGCTTTCTGGAACATCAGTTCCAGCTTATCGACCTCCGCCTCCATGTTGAATAGTTCTTAATAACATTTCTTAAAGACTCTTGTGGTTAAAAAATTGTTCTTTCCGAAACTGTTATGTAAATATGTATTATTAAATTTCGTGGCCTACTGTGTCTCATTCAAATGAGCAGTGTGGCTTGCAAAGTAAAAGTAAAGAGAGCTGATACACATATGCTCCCGGTGCAATGACCAACATCATGTAGCAAACTGTCCACAGGTCTTTGTCAATGGGCTAGTGTCTCCAGGGCTTAGCCATTGGTATTGGTTTTGGGCCTAATTTCCCAAAAAAAGGTCATAGGACTACTGCCAAACCACAAACACATTTACCAGGAACCCCCAGCTATGAAAATACAAAAAAAGAAAGAAAAAAGGAGGAAAAAACTCAACCAGTAGAATGAAATGAATAAAAGAGTTCAAGACCTAAAAGTGGAAATAGAATAATAACAATTATAAAAATGGAGTTATAGACTTGTGAGTTACCAGTTTCAGGAAACCTGACATTCTCACACAGACAAAACACTAATACACATAAAAACAAATAAATTATTATTTAAAAACTGAGGTAATTCTGGAAATGAAAACTTTAGGTTACCACAGATGAAAATCTCACCAACAGAAAGAATAGCAGCGATGGAAGGGAAAGTGCCGGCATTGAAGACGTGAGAGAGAAATGGATACTCCAGTCAAAGAAAACACTAAATACGAAATATTCTTAGTACAAAACATTGAGGATATCTGAGACACTGTGGAAAGACCAAATAAGACTAAGAATAATAAGAGAAAAACAGAGGTAGAGGCAGAGAAAATATTCTCAACAAAATCATTGAAGAAAATGTCCTTAACCTAAAGAAGATAGCTATTAAGGTACAAGAAACCTACTGAACACCAAATACATTGTAACAGAAAAGAGAGTTCTCTTGGTACATAGTAATCAAAACACTAAACAGAGACAAAAGGAATATTAAAATCTGCAAAGGAAAAAAAAAACAAGTAACATATAAAAGCAGAGCTATTAGAATTACACCTGACTTCTAAATGTAGACTCTAAATACCAGATATGCTGCAAACTCTAAGAGACCACAGATGCCAGTCTAGTGTACTATACATGGTAAAACTTTCTATTAACATAGATAGAAAAAAAAATAAAATATTCCATGGAAAACCAAATTTAAGCAATATCTATCTATAATATTATTCTATTTATAAATGTTGTAGCAAATACTCTAGCCCTACAGAATGTGCTAAAAGGAAAACTCCAGCCTAAGGCAGTTAACTACACCCTAGAAAACACAGGGAATAAATAATCTCAGAGCAGCAAATCAAAAGAGGGGAAACACACACACACATGCACCAGAACATCCAAACAAGAAACAAAATCAATCAAGCAACCAACAATCCACCAAAAACAAAATAACAAGAATCAAAAATCATTTGTCATTGATGTTTCTCAAAATCAATGGTCTCAATTCCCCAATAACAAGTCACAGACTAACAGAAAGGATGTGAAAAAGGATCTACCTTTCTGCTTCATCCAAGAAATACACCGTAATGTTAAGAATAGATATCATCTCAGGGTAAAGGCTTAGGAAAAGATTTCCCAAGAAAAAAGACTGAAAAAACAAGTTGAGTAGTCATTTTAATATCTTACAAAAATAGATTTCAAACCAAAACTAATCAATCATAAGAGACAGGGAAGGACAGAATATATCCACTAAAGGAAAAATCGACCAAGAGAACAAGTTTGTAAAAGAAACACTACTGCCGCTTAAATCACATATTGACACTCACACCTGATCTTACTTAGTCAGTGTTTCTATCGCTGTGAGGAGACACCATGACCACGGCAACTCTTCCAAGGAAAACATTTGATTGAAGCGATGGCTTTGTCATCATGGTGCTGAGCATGATAGTTGGCAGTATGGTGATATAGAGGAGGACATGGTGCTGAAGCTGAGAGTCCTGCATCCTGACAGGCAGGCAACAGGAAGTGGTCTGAGACACTGGCATGGTTTGAGCATGTATGAGACCTCGAAGCCCACCTCCACAGTGACACACTTCTTCCAACCAAGGCCATACCTACTCCAAGAAAGCCACTCCTCCTAATAGTGCCACTAACTCTCCTTGTGGCACATTTTACTTCAAACTACCATAAACCCCACTCTCATCAATAGTCACAGGTCATTTAGACAAAAACTAAACAGGGAAAAACTTCTAGCATATGACCTGATGATTTATTTTTCTTATACATTTAAACATAGTAAAACTTTGGGGGACAAAATGTTTCTACAGAACAACAGTCTTTCACCTAGCTCCTGATAGCGTGGTAATAACCTGAGTTTCAGTCTTCACCTCATTGTTTTCCTGCCAGCCATGATGCTTGCAGGGACCTCAACATATATTCTACTGTGTTTGGGTAAAATGTTATATAAATATGTTATATTCATTTGGTTTTTAACGTCAGTTAGAGAAACAGCATTTCTCTGTTTAGAGAGATCTCATACTAATTGAAAGGCTACTGTACCCTGATATTAAGCCTTTCTCCAAAATGTAGTAATCCAAATCAAACTGAATTAAAAGTTCAAAATCCAAGTTTATGGGTAAAATGTTCCTGGATGATTCTCTGGCGCCCAGAGAGGAAATTGAGAGGAGAGACGAAAACCACATGACTGGCCTTTAGGAGACAGATTAAATACCTTATAAGTGTGGTTTTGAGCATCCTTGGGGTTTGGAGGGAGAGAGATGGGGGGGGTTGAGATAGAACTTTCACCTGAAAACTAGTAATTTAATAGCACGCCTGAAAGCTCTAGAACAAAAAGAAGAGTTTTGATGAAGAATCCAGTAATACAGTGGGAAAAAGACATCATCTTCAACAAATAGTGCTGCTCAAACTAAACAGCTACATGTAGAAATATTCAAACAGATTCATACTCATCCCTCTGCAAAAAGCTTGATTCCAAATTGTCAAAGTCCTCAACATAAAATCTGATACACTGAACACAAAAGAAGAGAAAGTGAGAAATAACCTTGAAGTTATTTGCATGAGAAAAGACTTTTTGGAATAGAACATTGCTCACACAGTCTCTAAGAACAATAATTAAAAAGAGGCACCTCAGGAAACTAAAAGACTTCTATATTGCAAAGAGCAATGTCATTAGGATAAAATGGAAGCCTACAGAATGGGATTTTTTTTTTACTAACTCTACATCTCATAGAGTACTCATGTCCAAAATACATAAAGAACTCAAGAAACTAGGTAAAAAGAAAAGCAATAACCCATTTAAAAAGTGGTATAGATGTCTAAACACAGAATTCTGAAAAGAGGATACTCAAATGTTCAACATTGTTAACCATCAAGGAAAGGCAAACCAAAAGTACTTTGAGATTTTATTTTACACCCATCTGAATAGCTAAGATCAGTAGATAGCTAAGATCCTCTCCATAGCTTATGATTGAGAAGATGTGGAGTAAGAGGAACACTCTTCTGTGGGAATCAGTGTAGTGGTTGCTGAGGAAGTTGGGAATTCATCTCCCTCAATTTCCTTCTATACCACTCGGGGTTATACCCAAAGGACATTTAATCCTACATAGACACACTTTCTCAATCACATTCTTTTATAATAGATAGAAACTGGAAACAATTCACATGTCCCTCAACAGATGAATTGATAAAAAAAAAAAAAAAAGATGTGATACATTTGGGATGGCTCGCATACTGTCTCAGAGGTCCAGTCCATTATCGTCATGGTAGGGAACATGGTGGCACGTAGGCAGACATTGTGCTGGCTCAGTCTTGATCACAAGGCAACAGGAAATGGAATAAATAGAATGTGTGTCACACCGAGAAAAGCATGAGCAAAAGCAATCTCAAAGCCTGCACCCAAAGTGACACACTTTCTCCAACAAGGGCATACCCACTCCAACAAAGTCATACCCCTCAATAATGCCACTCCCTATGAGAATACAGGGGCCAATTACATTCAAACTATCACAGACAGGAAGGAAACAAGGCCCTCTAACACAATAGGACTGATGTACTCACTGAGACTGAGACAACACTCACAGGACCTGCATGGGTCTGACCTATGGGGTCCTAGATCTAAAAACAGAAGTACATGCATGTTCCCATCCCTAACCCAGAAACTATCTTTGAAAATTTAGTTTTCTACGAGGAAACTTGGTGAGACAAACTGCTCTTTAAAGGGAGGCTGGATCCTCAGCAGTGGGTTTTCATGTTGTTTCTGTATTTGTGTTGGGATTTGTATAACTGGAGTTAGCTTGTTGGTTGCATTTTTTTCTTATTGCTCAAATCACCTTTCTTTTTTCAGCAGAGGTGAAATTCTGTTCACTACTCAGTAAGAAATAATGGAAGTATTCATAAGACATTTGAAAGCTGTTGTTGAAGTGATTAAATCTGTTAAAAGTTTTTTTTATACCAGAAAGAATAAAATTTTAGTTATCTAAGATTTGAAGAAATAAACACCAATCAAATGACCTATTGTGAATTTCTTCAAGTTTGTTACATTATCAAAATGATTGCTAAAAAATTAAATATGATAGGAAGACAAACCTGTGAGAAACATTTACAATGCAACAAAAACTTACTAAATTAAATTCTTCATTAGCACACTCTGGCACGAATCTTCTAAGCCTTTCTTTCCTTTATTTTAGCAATAGATTGTGGAGAACATGCAGTTTCCTCTGAACATGAAAAGGTTTTGATGTACGATATTCTTGCCTGACTGGTCTAGAAGTGCTGCAGGCCGTCAGTCACAATTCTCCATCCTGAGGTAAAGGAAAGAAGAAAAGAAAACGATTTATGCACTAAATATTTTGTGCCTTGGTCTAATATTTAACACAATGTCTGAACAAAATGACAAAAATAAATTAAGAATGATGTTTGATGGTGGTGGCTCACACCTTTAATCCCAACACTCAGGAGGCAGAGGCAGGCAAATTTCTGTGACTTTGAAGTCTGCCTGGACTATGGAGTGAGTTCCAGCACAGCCAGGGC